GCTGCGGCGAGGCAGGCGGAGGCGGCTGAGCGGGCGGCGGAGGAGGCGCGGGCGGCGGAGGAGGCGCGGGCGGCTGACGAGGCGCGGGCGGCTGAGGCAGCTGCGGAGGCGCGGGCGGCGCGGGCGGCGGAGGAGGCGGAGGCGGCGTCGCGGGCAAGGGAGGAGGCAGAGGCGAGGGCAAGGGAGGAGGCGGCAAGGGAGAGGGAAGAAGCGAGGGAGAGGGCGGAGGCGGCGGCGGAGGCGGCGGCGGAGGCGGCGGCGGAGGCGGCGGCTGTAGAGGCGGCAGCCTCGAGGACCGCATCTACCGCACTCCAGCTGCACTGCAGCGGCTCCGCATGCTCGGCTTCGAGACGCCGCCTCCGCAGTTGTCGTCCCTCGAACGGCTCCGCGTGCTGCGCGACGCGGCGAGCGCGCTGCATTACCTGCACACGCTCTCGCCGATGATTCTTCACCGCGACGTGTCGGCGGGCAACATCCTGCTCGACGAGCGCGGCAATGGATTCCTCGCCGACGTGGGCCTCGCGCGCGCGGCGGAGGCGACGGCCGGGCAGGTCTCGCACCTGTCGACGCAGCGGATCTTTGGCAAGCCCGGCTACATGGACCCGATCATCATGCAGGACAACCAAGCGTCTCAGCTGACCGACGGCTATGCGCTCGGCATCACGCTGCTCGTCGCCCTGACCGGCCGCGGCGCCGTCGGCTTGCTCAACGCGTGCGACGATGCATTGGAGGAGCCCGACACGGCGGAGAGCATCGCGGCGGCCGACGCGGGCTGGTCGGCGGCGCAGGCAGAGGAGCTGGCGCGGCTCGTGGTCGGGCTGGCTCTCGTGAGGAAGAAGAGGCGGATGCCGCTCGCAGAGGCGCTGCCGCGGCTGGAGGCGCTGGCCGAGGCGGCGGAGGAGATGGCGGCATCGCCGCCACCGAGCCTCGCAGGGGCGCCGGCGGTGGCAGCCGAGGCGGACGCGGACGCGGAGCGCCAGTGCGACTTGTGCTGGTCAGCGCCGCGCTCGGTGCGCTTCGCTTGCGGCCACGCGCTGTACTGCGAGACATGCGCGCCGCGCGTGCTGGAGCGCGACACCAACTGCCCGGCCTGCCGCCAGCCGGCGTTTCCCATCGCCGCAGTCGGAGCGCATGTTGCGGCGCAGACCACGTTCGTCCACCAGCCGCCTGCGCGCGCTGGGCCAGCCGCAGCCCGTAGCCCGCAACCCGCGGGCGGTCGCGGCGGGGCCGACATCGACGCCCACATCTCTCGGGCACGGCCGAGGCAGGCGGCAAGGGAGACGGCAGCTGTGAGGGAGAGGGAGGCAGCTGTCATGGCGGCTGCGGCGAGGGCGAGGGCAGTGGAGAGGCTGATGCAGCAGCAGCAGCAGCAGTCGCAGCAGTCGCAGCAGTCGCAGTCGCAGCAGCAGCAGCAGTCGCGCGGATGGCGTGGCGGGCGTGGCGGGCGTGGCGGCCGAGGCGGCCGAGGCGGCCGAGGCGGGCGTGGCGGACGCGGTGGGCGTGGCGGAAGTGTTGGGTGATTTGGGGTGGCTGGCACAGCTCACATGCATGGCTTATGCGTTGCATCCGTTTTTTGCTTTCGCGTTTCGGATTCGGTGTCTTGGGGGTCTCGTCTCATAAACTTCTCTCAAAAACACCGAGATGCGAGAGAAATACAGTAACCACCTTCGTACACAGGTTCTCACTCAGAGAATGCCCAGAAGCCCACTCACAGCTCACACAGCTCACGTAAGCACAGCATGGCACCCCCTCGAAGTTCCCTCCAACGCGCAAATTCCCTCTCCCAACTCTCAAAAACGACTCTCTGCCGTCGACTCGGTGGCACAACGATGCGTTCGGCTCGCTCGCGCCGCCACGTGTTGGAGTGAAATGGAGCTAGCCATTATTTATGTGCGAGTGTCGCTCACAATCCTTCGTTCGTTCGACTTCTAGGATTGCGAGCGAGGCTGCTTGCAATCCAACACTTGCAGAAAAGAAGGTTCAGCACCAGTGTGCGTGCCTCCGCTCAAAAACGAAGAATAGCGGTAAGCTGCGGTCCGACCGATCCGATGCCACCGACCGACTCGCGCTGACGGGAAGACGCGCACTTGGAGCACTTGGAGTGCAGTCATCAACCTCACATCCAGGGCCGGGGAACTGAGGAGCGCACCCAGCGGGCCGGATGATCGGCATCGGGTTACGGGCTAGAGAGCCCTAGCCCCGGGGGTGCGCGTTCGCAGGGCAAGGGCCGAAAGTAAGGGTGTTCAATTTTTCTCCCGGCGCCTGTGTCGAGCCCTTAAGCTGCCCACACACGACGCTCGACACGCCCCCCCCGGGGGGGGGCCTCGTAGGGTGTCACACGATGTAGAATAGGAGCAAGCTGCCGGCCAGGGCGAAGACGAGCGTGGTCGGGAATGCGAAGGCGAGGTGGCGGAAGAAGGTGAACTCGTAGCCGGTACGCGCGGCCTTCTCGGCGACGATGAGGTTGGCGATCGAGCCGACGAGCGTGAGGTTGCCGGCGACGGTGCTCGAGAAGGCCAGGATCACCCAGCCCGTCTCGACGACGATCGACGGATCGAGCTTCATCATCTGGCCCGAGAGGAGCATCACGGTGGGCACGTTGGAGCAGATGTTGGACAGGATGAGCACGAGGATGGCGAAGACGCAGACATCCTTCGGCGAGTCGAAGTCGAGGCCGACGCCCTTGATCGACTTCGCAAGGTCGAAGATCTCCTGCGGCAGCCCCGTGAGGCGCGAGCCCGCGATGACGACGAAGAGGCCACCGATCATCACGAGGAGCGGACCGTCCACGTAGCCGAGGATGACGGTCGGGTCGCGGCTGCGCGGCTGCAGGTAGGCCTCCGCGATTGCGAGCACGCCCGCGGCCGTCAGCGCCACCCACGCGATCGACGAGGTGAAGAGGAAGCCGACGAGCAGGCCGAACAGCACGACGTACACTCCGATGCGACGACGCGCATCGCGCTGGCTGACGAAGTGCGCCCGGATCGGGTCGACGAACGACTGCGCAGAACCTTGGCGACGTCCGAGCTGCGGGGGCAGAGGCCTTGCGGGGTCGAGTCCCCGCCGCTTCGATGGTAGAGGCCGTCGGGAGTGCATTCGGACTCGGTGGCTAAATCGGACGTGCACTCGGCGTTGGTGGGGAGCAGCAGACGATGAAGATTGGCGACCAGCCGGTTTTAAGGTCCCTCCGGCCAGTTTGGGGGGGCAAACCCAGCCCGCCCCCTAGAACCCCGGGTAAGGCCCAGGTGTGGCCTAGGGCATCAGAAGGGACCAAGAGGAGTCCAGTCTGAGCCATAGAGCCCATGTCTTTGCCCCCGAAGGTCGCGTTCAAATGCCCGGAACGGCCGTCTCAGTGGTGTCCGGCCGGCGCGATCACCGAGCTGTGACGCTCAGGGAAGACTGATGAGGTGCTGGTTTCTTTGCCCAGGCCTGGCCTTCACCCCAGGCTGGATGGATCAGCTGAGCAAGGTTTGGGGAGAATCCCCCATTCAGATCTTCAGATATTTTGACGGATGACCGAAAATGGGCATGACGCGAGCGAGAGCACCTGCAGCGGCGCCTCGATCAAGATGCCGATCGCCATTGACCTTGCTCGAGCCGCGGCGGGGCCGTGAATGAAAGTGAAGCGTGTCAGGATCGGCTGCTCGGCTGTGAATCGCACCTCAACCTCTCACAGGCCAGCGCACAGCGCCATAGGAGGTATTTTCTTCTCAATAACAAGGCTGTGAACTGACCTCGCTGTGAATGTGACCGCCGTCACAGACACTATTGTCCATGAATGGTAAGACTGAGAGTAGAGTAGAATCGGGTCGAGCGACCGGCCCAGTCGACCGTCCCCTCCCCTCAGCAGAGCCGGCGAGACCTAAAGGATTCACGCCTCTCAATCCTGCCGTTGGGCTTCGAGTTGGAGCCCGGCACACCTCCGCCCTCACCTCTCCCGCCCGTCCGCCCCTCCAAACGTCCGCCCTCGAACCACCAGCCCACCGCTCCGCATCGTACGCCGCTCCGCGGACGATGGTCGACGTCACCTCCAAGGTGCAGATCATCGAGCACGTCAACAAGCCGCTCTCGCAGACCGTCTATGACACCAAGTGGGTGCCGTGCTCCGCGCGGTTCGTCTCGCTCGGCACCCCGGCTCGGCAGACGGGACTCATCCACGTGTACTCCCTCACGGCCGGCGACATCGAGCTGCAGGTGCCGCCGCCACGCCCACCCACCCGCCCCCCGCCGGCCAGCGCGCCCGAGCGCCGCGCCCTCGCCGGCCGCAGGCGGAGCTTGAGCGTCCAAAGGCGTTCAAGTGCGGGACGTTTGGCGCGTCGTCCATCGCGGAGCGCCATCTCGCGACCGGCGACTTTGCGGGCGGCGTCGCCCTCTGGGACCTGGAGCGGCTGCAAGAGCCTCTCTCTGCGACGCAGGGCCACGAGGCCATCATCAACTGCATCGACGGGTGCGGCGGGCTGAAGGGCGCCGGGGCGCCCGAGATCGCGACGGGCGGGCGCGACGGCGCCGTCCACGTCTGGGACCCGCGCCAGCGGGACCGGCCGGTCGCGTCCATGCTGCCCGAGGAGGGTGCTCCGGCGCGCGGCTCCAGATGCGGAATATCTCCCCATATCTCCCCAGATCTCGAGGCCCAGCTGCGGGAAACGGAGGGTTGTACTCCGACTGGCGCTCGCGAGGGCGCGCATTCGGCCGTGCTCGGCTGTACTCACTGTCCTCGCCGCCCTCGGATGCACGCGATGCTCCGAAGACACTGCACGGCGCCGTCTTGACTTTTGCCTTCGGTGTATCGACGCCGCGGCGCAGGTGCGAGACTGCTGGGCGGTCGCGTTCGGCGACGCGCACAGCGCGGACAGCCGAGTGGTGGCGGCCGGGTACGACAACGGCGACGTGAAGCTGCTCGACCTGGTCGCCGGCAAGCTGCGCTTCGAGACCAATGTGAGCAACGGCGTCTGCGGGGTCGAGTTTGACCGCAACGACATCGAGATGAACAAGCTGGTCGCGCGCGCCGCCCGCTGCCTCGGCGGTGGGCGAGAGAAAGCACGTCACGTGTATTTCTTTTTTTAGGCGCGCCGCGCGCACTCTCCCGTCCTGCCGCTGTGAACGGCGTCTCTTCACACCTGCCGCTGTGAACAGGCGCCGCGGCTCCTCTGTCGCTACGAGTGGGAGCGGGCGCGTCTCTTCACCGCACGCGGTGTGAGCAGGTCCTCACAAAAAGACAGCGCGTCGGCCCAGACCGCATGCACGGACACAGTCACACAGCCGAGAGAGTGGACAGACAGACCGCGATCGGGTAGTGGGCGAGAGAGGAGGAGCAGAGGGACAGAGATCGACTCGTCGGACATGCAACGCAGGTCCTCACGACGCTCGAGTCGCGCTACCGCCTCTACGACATGCGGACGCACCATCCGGTGCAAGGCTACTCCTTCCTCTCGCAGGCGCCGAGTACGGAGGGAGAGGGGACCTCGGGCGGGGCACGCTGCGCAGCACACCGGGGCGACAGGACAGGGCACTCCGCACCGGGGCACACACCGCGGCAAACCGTAGACGCCGACACCCACCACCGGGTGGTTTCACTGTGACTTCCCGCCCAGAGTCAACTCCCCGCCGACGCACACGCCCCGAGAGCCGTCTCATGGCGTGATTGCGCCATCACTGTGCGCAAGCTGTTCACACCTGCCATCACCTGCCGCTGTGAACGGCGTCTCTTCACACCTGCCATCACTGTGCGCAAGCTGTTGTGCGGGCTCTCCAGCACGCCCACTCAACCCCGCGCTTGTACCACCGCCCCCCCCCCCGGCCCCGCCGCCTTGCCTGGCCGCTGTCTGGCCGTTGGGAGGCACTATTGCCGCCACCGAGGGAGAGTACAATGGTGGAGTCACCGAGAGCGGCTGCCGCCGCCGCCTCTTGCGCGGCGTCACATGCGTCGGACTCTCTCACGTCCGCAGGTGTGAAGAGACGCCGTTCACAGCGGCAGGTGTGAAGACTCTCTCACGTCCGCTCTTCTCTCGCAGGAGGCGCACCAGTCGACCGTCTGGGCGGCGCGCCACCTGCCGCAGAACCGCGACGTCTTCATGACGTGCGGCGGCAACGGCTCGCTCGAGCTGTGGAGGCACACACACACACACACACACACACACACACACACACACACACGCACACACACACACACACACGCACACGCACACGCACACACACACACACACGCACACACACACACACGCGCGCGCACCGGGCCTTGCACTTTTGGTGCCGTGGGGCTCCTGCCCTTGGGACGTGGAGTCGCGAGGGTTGCCCCCCCCTTTCCAAGTTAACCTCACCTCACCTGACCTATAGGTACTCTTACCCCGCGCAGCGCTCGATCAAAGACAAGGACGGCCACGCCAAGGCGCGGACCCTTCCGAGACTCTTCCAAGACCCCCGTCCGAGACATCCCCGAGTGGACGTCGCGGAGGAGCGGCGGCGGGGCGCCGCTCCTCTCCATCCTCTGACTCCGCCCTCCCGCCCTCCCTCGCCAAGGGCGTGCTCGGCACGGTGACGCAGCTGCAAAAGAAGAAGCTCTCCACGCAGCCGATCGCCTCCTTCGACTGGCACGCCGACAAGGAGGGCCTCGCGGTGATGGGCGTGCTCGACCAAACGGTGCGCGTGCTGCTCTGCACAAAGCTGAACTTGGTGTGAGCCGGGCGGCGCCGGAGGCCGCGCGTGGATCGCGCCGTGCTCACATAATTTTGTATTTGCATGGGCGAGGGGGGGGAGGGTCGCTGGGGGAACCCGCGTGGGAGTTCTCTGCTGCTTTGTGTGTTTCAACTGTGTCTGATAGCTGATAGGTTATTTCAGCGTTTCACGACGACCCTTTACGAAGCCACCCGTGCCACGACCGGGGGGCGCGGGCGGGGCGCGAGTGCCGAGTCGCGAGAGAGTGTGCGGAGGGGTCGGAGTGGCGAGTGGCGACATGAATGTCCCCGCCACAATCAACAGAATTACGGCTTTACCTTTCTCTTTGTCGTCACGGCACGTGGAGCACTTGGAGTGCGGTTGGTACTCACAACGAAAATCCAAGAGCGGGCGAGCATCCACGACGCTGCCGACGATGTGGGGCTTCCACGGCTGCCAAGTGGTGGTCCATGACCATTCTGAGCAGGGCTGTGCTTTGGTGGGGCTGTGCTTGAGCATGTGTGAACTGGGAGTGCGTGCCGGCGGTGTCTGTGGGTGAACGACAGGCGTGTGTGAGGCTGCAAGAGCCGTGGTATGAGCCAGAGTGAGCTTCATCAACGTGCTCGATACTGGCTTTCTGAGCGACGATACTCTCGCGTGCTTCGAGGAGGTGGCGTGCTCGGCGATCAGCTGCCAGAGATGGGCACGGGGATAATGCTGCAGCAAGCTGCAAGGCGAGAGGCCATAGCGGGTGGGTAGGCCCTAAAACGGCGGGAGGGGTAGGGCTATATCGACAGAGCTAGAGGGCTCAACCACCCCTCCACCCCTCCACCCTCCACCCCTCCACCCTCCCGGAGCGAGAGAGGTCCGTCTTCGAGCCCTCCCACTTCCACCTCCCTCCGACCGGAGGGCTCGCCAGCCCACAGGGCTGGAGGGGCCCCCGTCGGATCGGCGTCGGGAGGGCTCCACAGGGCTAACCCCCTCCCCGGACGCCGGGTGGGCTCGGAGGGACGGTCGGACAAGGGAGGATCTTCGTGGCGGGAGGGCTCGAGAGAGGGGTCGGAAGGGCCCTCTGGGGTCGCAAAAAGAGAAACAAAAACGAAGTCGCGGCTTATGTCTTATGTGACTGCCCCCAAGAGGGCTCGGAGGGCTCGGAGG